GAGGAGGCGGAGGAGGAGGAGGAGGAGGAGGAGGAGGAGGAGGAGGTGGAGGAGGGGGGGAGGAGGACAAGGAGGAGGATGAGGATGAGGAATGCGAGTTGTCCTTCTAGAATTGTAAGCAACAACCAACTGACGAGTGTGCCGTATTTTGGTTTCTGGCTCAAGCTCTTCCCCCCAATGCCCATCCTGGGGGGGCCAAGGTGATTCTTGACGGGGCGGCCAACTCCATCATCACTTCCACTTCGGCCGCCGTCCTCTCCTGGGCCAACCGCGTCCCGTGCCCCGACTGCCGCCTGGTGTTCATTTGCGACTGCCCAGACTGCCCGACGGTGACCTGCGGCGACGTCGTCATGCGGGAGGCGAGCGACTCGTCACTGCTCGGGTCCGCGCTGTGGTGGTCTCTCCTGGTGTGCTTCGGCTTCCTGCTGGGACGCCTCCCCCTTGCGGGGGCCTTCGCGGCCCAGCGCGCGCAGCGAGCCCCTCGGGCTGCAGCGGCGGACGAGGTCGAGGCGCCGATCGGAGCAGGCCCGACTGCAGGTGGAGGCGATCGCGCTGAAGCGGCGGAGCGCCGGGGGCTCCCTTAGCCTGTGATGGCGGCCGCGGTGGCCGGCCTGGGGGCGTGCGCCATCCTCGCCCCCGATGACGACGACTACGACAAGGACACCTCCGTGCCTGCTAACATTGTCGAGGCGGTGCGCCTGTCCCACGGCATGCAGTGCGGTGTGCCGCCTTTGATCGGTGGCGCGGCGGTCCCGGCACCGGTGCATCGCTTCCGCGCCCTGCCCCTGCCGGTTCGGCTGGTGGGCGCGCGGGCTGCGTGTGCCACTCGCCTGGGCTTCGCGGTGCCAGCTGGGACTTTCCCTCTGAATTTGGCTGGGCGTCCGCTCTCGGTCGGCGCCGGGGCCCCTGTGTCAGCGAGGGGCCTCGACGAGGGTGACTTTTTCGTGGTTCGCTACAACGTGCCTGGGCCAGTTCTGTGGCATGAGAGGGTTGTGGTCTTCAAGCCTGGCCCGCCGCCTGCTGCAGCCGCTGTGCCCGCCGGAGGGGGGCTCGCCGCCCTGGCTGCTGCCATCGGCGGGCCCGCCGCTGCCGGCGCCCCTGCGGGCGCCCTGGCGCTGCGGCCGCGCCCGCGGCAGCTGCGGCGGAGGCACCCGCCGGCGCCCTGGTGCCTGCGGCCAGCGCCGGCGCCGTCGCCGCTGGCCCGGCTGGGCCGCCGCGGGCGCTGCAGCGGCCGCCGCCCCCTTCGCGGCTGGGCCCGCGGTGGGCTACGCCGCGGCCGCGGCCGGTGCGCCCGCGGGCGGAGGTGCTGCTGGGATTGCAGTCTTCGACCTGCGGGTGCAGCCCGTCTGTATCGACTCGCAGGGCATCCGCTACCGCGAGTTCAGAGTTGCCGTCTCCACGTTCACGGCCGCGCCGTTCGCAGACTGGTCCGTCCGCGGACCCGGGATTCTCCTTTGGGTGAGCAAATTCATCGTCGCCAACGGCGGGTGGCCCGAGGCCGGGCACAACCGCTGGAGGGTGGAGGCTTGCCTGAGTGGGTCGGGGCCTGGAGTGGAGGGGCATCTGCGCGTGTGCGTGGCTCTGGAGACGGCTGCCTGCTGCGACCAGCTGAATTATGCGGAGATTGCGTCGCTCGAGATGCTGGGTCGGTCGCTGCAGGAGCAAGAGGAGCGGCGCCGAGATCGAATCGTTGGCGGCGAGGATAATGTCGATTCTCACGTCTTCTTGTGTTCGGACCTCCTCAGGGGCAATGTCTGCGTGGCCCCTGAGCTCCAGGACTGGATCGCGCAGGAGCTCGCCAAGGAAGTCTCGGCGATGAAGGAGAGGCGCACGGCGCGGGGGGGGCGGAACGCCAACCGCCGGCCGCGCAATCCCGAGAAGGCAGGGAAGGAAGAACAGGGTGAATTCCCCCGCCGACGCTGGCGCGAGGGTACCAGCGTTGGGCGACCAGACGATTGGGCCCTCTCCGACCGCTGCGCCTCGGTCGGGAACGACACCTGATGGCGCTGCCTCTGTTCGTGCCAGAGACATCTTTCCTCTTCCTCTCTTTCCCTGTTCTTCCAGGCCCGTCCGCGGCTCCACTCGTGAGTAGGAGCATTCCCCGACGCCATTGCAGCTCACCTTTTGCCAGAGGAGCGTCTTCGAGCGCATGTGTAGACAGTGGCGTGAGGTGGGCCCCTGGCCCTCTGACCTCCTCTCTGGTGCGGGGGCCCTCAGTGAGCTCTGCGCCAGTAGTGATTTGCACGACTCAGCAGGGACCGCTGGGCGACCGTTTTCCTGGGATCTCGTTTCCTCGCCAGGCGAGGGGGCCCGCCCAGTCCCTCTGAGCTGTCTCCTCAACCCTGGCGACTCTGAGTGGATCGGCCGTTCCCGAGAGAACTTGCGAAGGCCCCCTGACGAGGTTCGGAGTTTGATTCGAGAAGCTTGCGCCCTGTGGCCGGGCGTGGACCCGCTCGCCAGCTTGCCCCGCGCTCGGCATGCTGCCTTTGTTCGTGGGTTGGTCGACGGGGGGGTGGCCGCCGTGGAGCTTGCTGTGGACCGCTATCGCAAGGTTTGTATTTTCTTCGTTGCGAAAAAGTCTGGTAAGCTCAGGCTTGTCTTCGATGCCCGTGTTGTCAATTGCTTTTCTTCAAATAGGCTTGCCCGCAGGAGTCCCAGCTCAAACCCTACTAATTGGTCCGTTGCCCCCCCCTCAATTCCTATGCCCCCCCTAATTCCTATGGCTATGCCCATGCCTATGCCTACCCCTCACGCATGCTTGCTGCTTGCTTGCTTGCGCGCTTGCTTGCTTGATTGCTTGCTCGCTTGCTTGCTTGCGCGCTTGCGCGCTCGCTCGCTTGCTTGCTTGCTTGCTTGCGTGCTTGCTTGCTTACTTGCTTGCTTGCTTGCTGAAGTGCGGATTCCAAGCGTGCTCGATTCCTCTGATTCCTTGATTTGAGTAGTCTAATCTATTTGGAGTCAACGCTGGCTTATATGTAAGACCCCTTGCACCACCCGTCTCTCCCCGGCCGCGGCCCTCGGGTCTATTGAGTCTCTGGGGTCCGACGTTCCTGCGGGGTCGAGCGACATTGGTAATTGCTGTTATCGCGGGGCCCTGCCCGCAGAGATTCGGGACTTTCTCGCCCTTTCCCCCGTCGATGCCGGGGTTGCTGGGCTCGCGGAGATAGACAGGCCACCAGGTGGGTCCATGTGCCGCGCTCGAGCCTGTCCTCGCTATCTCGCCGATGGGTTGGAGTTGGGCCATGCGCATCGCTCGGTCCGTCGTGCGTCTGAATGCCCTGTGCAGCGCCGGCGTCGATGGGTCGAACCTCGTCATGGGCGGCAGCCCGGCCTCTCCGCTCGACGGTTCCACGGGGGTGCGCGTCGCGGGTCACGTCGACGACTTCGTCGTTTTCGGCCAGGGCCCTGGCGCCGTTAACTCGATAGTGTCGCGAATTCGCTCCTCCCTGGAAGCTGAGGGCGTCGTCGTCCACGAGCTGGCGTCCGCCTCGAAAGATGCGCCCTTTCTCGGGCTGGAGCTCAGATCGGGGCAGAGGCCCTCTATCCGACGGCGCGGTCTCTGGAGGCTGCAGCTTGCCCTAGAATATATCATCCGGCGCTGTCGCGCCAGTGGGCCCCTTCTACATGTTACCTGGGCTGCCTTACTTCGGAGGGGGCCCTCAGTTATCTATATTGCGTCTATGCTTATATCGAGAAAAACATGTGAGGTTGTCGACCTGTGGCCTGGTGTTCGCAAGGAACTTTGAAGGGTGCGGTGCGCCCCCCTTTTTTTAACAGTGGACTGGGGCTCCGAGTGGCATGGCTGCGCGCCCGCCCCAGACGCTTCTCCGCCTGGCCTCGGCGCGCGCTTCTTCGCGGCGTATGTCTCTGCGGGAGGCTGGCGCTATCGGAAGATCGAGTGAGCGTTGGAGATGCAGGGTTAAGGCGCGCTGTCGGCCTCGGGAAGCTGCTCTCCTGGGCTTCTCGGTAGCCCCTGAGGGCCTGATGGTGGTGTTGAGTGTGACGTTGGTTTTGTTTACTTGGAGGAGGTGGCCCGCCGCTTTGATGAGAGTTCATACATCCCGAATGCTGGGCCCGCATCGCGGCCTGCCAGGTCTCCCCTGGTGCCGACATCCTGGCGTTGGAGAGGGGGGCCCTGGTCCTCGCGGCGCGCCGTGCCCCGGGCACTCAGAGTGCCCTCGCTCGTCGGCCCCACTTCGTTGTGGGCAACCCCCTAGCCCTGCCGCAAAGGGGCGTGCCATATCGAAGCTCCTCTAGCCTAGCCTCGCCAAGCTTGTCGGCCTGTCTGTGGTCACTGGGTGTCGCTTCGTTGTCAGACGGATGTCCGCCGAGTGGAATGTGATCGATGCCCCCGCTCGGGAAATTTCGGTTGTTTCACTGGATTCCGCGCTGTCAGACGCTGCCCCTCGTTGCCCATGTCGGCTCACAGGGCCCTCCGTTCGGGGTCTCCACCAGGGCCCCCTTGGCTCGGCCTGCCCGCTGCGCCGACGGCAGTGCATGCCTCGCGCGCGCCCGGGACCTGGGCGCCTGCTGGCAGCGAGACGCTCGGGGGCCAAGTCTACTTCCCTGAAGGCCTTTCGCGCTTCGGCAGCGTCGACTGCGGTGAAGGGGCGGCCCCCGCTTGGCGGGCCGTCGTCCCTGGGGCGGCTTGCCATCCGCCCCTCGTCGGAGACCGTCTGCCGTTCGCTGCTGAAGAGGTTCCATGACCACTGCTTGCCGCTGGCGCGACTGGCCCTCCCTCGACGGCCTCCTGGTCGATTTCATCGGCGGCCTGTTCCTGGATGGGGCTAGGGCCAGACGTCTGCGGCGGCGCGCTGGCCGCCCTGGTGCACTTCCTGCTGGGGCTGGGGCGGTCGGGGGCCTCCCTGCTGCCGCGGGCGTCGCGAGCCGCGCTGGGCTGGAGTCGCGCCCCGCCGTTCACGCGGCTGCCGATGCAGCGGGCCGCCGTGGGTGCGATCGTGGTCCGCCTGATCTACCGCGTCCTCCTTCGGGCTGCCCTGCTGACCGTGGTCGCCCACGTGTGCTACTTGACCCCGCAGGGGATGATGCAGGCGCGCGGGCGCCACCTCGTCGCCCCCGCGGAGGCGGAGGGGCCGGCCGACCAGCGCTGCCGTGCCCCCGCAGGCCGGGGAGACGGGGGTGTGCGACGACGCTGTGGTCATCGACCTGGGCACCTGGCTGTGCCCCGCGCTGGCCTGTGTCCGAGCGACGCGGAGGCCTGGCGACCTCGTCGTGGACTTGAGCTTCTCGGACTGCAGCCGGACTTTCGTCGAGGCCGCCGCGCTTCAGGAGCTTGGCCCGATCGATCGTCGCCCGTGTCAACAGCGGCGCGGGGGGGCATCGGAGGACCTGGCGCTGGGGCGCCGCTCGGCCGAGCAGGTTCGCCTCCTCGGGCGGCGGGCCACGTTCGTGTCAGTGGAAGGGCGCGCCGGGGGCGCGCGGCTGCTCGACGTCCTCAGCTCGGTGGAGCCAGAGGTGTTCGCGTGCGGCGACCTCGCGCTGAACTCCCGGTCGGTGCTCGTGCGCCGCGGCAGCGGCCTGCCTGCGGGCGCGCCGCCTCAGGCGGCGGCGCCGATGCGCGGGCTGCCCGTGCCGCCGCCAGATCGCGCGGAGGCGCCCCGAGGCGCCGTGGGGGTGATCCAGCACCTCCAGGGCGCCCTGGCCTCCGAGCTGCGCCAGGCCGTCCACGTGCGCCGCTTCGCCTTCCCGGAGATGTTCGCGGGGTCGGCCCAGCTCGGAGTGGCCCCGGGGGCTGCTGGGCATGCCTGCGCTTCTCTCGACATCGGGAACGGAAGACTGGATAATCACTTGAACCCGCGTTCTGGAACTCTATCCGTGGTTGGCTTCGGTGGAAGGTTATTGTGGGCGTCGGGCTGGGTGCCCCGTGCGCTGCGCGGTCTCGAGCCCTCCGGAGACCTTTCGGGGGCATCAATCGTGGGGGCACAGACCCAGGGTTGGCAGACCTGGGGTGAACTTTCTTTTTATGCCCTTTAATAAGGCCTCCGGAACGGAGCCGGCCTGCCACGGCAGCTTTTTCGGTCCCGTTGCGAAGCAAGCGGGCTTCTCGCAATCCGCGCGCAGCGAGCCACGCCAGGGCCAGGCAAGCCGCGCCGCCTCAGGACCTTTCCGATGCAGATTTTTCTGCATTGCATGATTTTTCTCGGCATTGCAGATTTTCTGTTCTGCAGCGCTCTTGTGGGACATTTGAAAATCTGCAATGCAGATTTTTGTGTCTGCATTGCAGTTTTTGTTTCTTGCGCGCGTGGGTTCGTCTGGCCACAACCCGCCCCTGCGGGATAGGGTACGGTGCGGAAGCCATGTTGAACATCTGGGCTGGGCGCATGACAGGGCCCTTGGGCGTCGGGGCTTGCGCGCCCGAAACAGCTGTAAAATGCAAGGCCCCAGCCCCTGGTCTGCCGACCCCCGCTCAAGGGAGCCCCGAATCCAGGCCCCGATGGGCCTCGAGGGCCCCGACGAGTCGGAACTCGCTAGGCTCCAAGTGGGTAGCGACACCTTCAAGCTCTCTGTAAAGATCATCAAGACGCGTGTCCGTCTTGGGATCCCGATGTGCCTGGAGAACCCCGCGGCCTCTATCATGCGGCGTGCCCCCCTACTGGCGCCTCTCCTGGATCTTCCCCATTGTCATTTTCAGATTCTGGATCTGTGTCGTTTTGGAGCTTCTTGGAGGCAGAGAACCAGAGTTGCCATGTGGAGGGCTGGGTTTCACGCGCGTCTCCAGCAGCGCTGTGCCGGGCGAAGAGGCTTTTGCTCAGTGACTGGCAAACGGCGCCTCATACTTGAGCGAGTCGACCCCGCCACGGGAAAGGAAAGGACTGTCCTATGGTGTTGCCCAGAACGCTCGCGAGCGGCCTCCGCCTTGTGGCTGAACGCAACCGTAGCCTTAGTGCGCATTCCTGGGTTTTGGGGATGAAGCCTGCCAGTTTTCTCTTGCAGGCTGGTTAGTTCGTTGGATTGGTCCTGTTGGCTCTTGCTCGGCCTTGCGGCCAGTTCAACTTGCCGGGCTCGGGCTCCGCGAAACCGTCGGTTTCGTTTCGACGCTCCGGCCTCGTCGGCGTGGCGGCTTTACGCTCGCAGTTTGAGCTCGCCGTTCCGCCGGGTGGGCCACGCGGAATCCGTGGCAGTGTCGTGGGTATTTTTCCTGGTGCGTGGGGGGGCATGGTGGAGCTGTCCTTTTTTCAAAGTAGAAGCAACAGCCAGCTGGCGAGTGTGCCGCATTCTGCTTTCTGGCTCAAGCTCTTTCCCCCCCCCCCCCCCCTCCCTCGCTTTCCCCTTTCTTCTCGGGCCGCGCGAAATCTTCGGTCTCGTTTCGACGCCCAGGCCTCGTCGGCGCGGAGGCTTTACGCTCGCAGTTTGAGCTCGCCGTTCCGCCGGATGGATTGGCCACGCAGAAAACATGACAGTGTCGTGGGTCTTTTTTCCTGGCGCATGGGGAGGATCGCGGAGCTAATAATACGAATGAGATTCATAAGACGAATTTGA